TTGCAACTACTTCTGTGAATATTTAAAATTGCGACTTTTTTATCTCTTATATTGACAACGTGCCTCATTTCAACCTCCTTAATGCTCAATTTGATGGTCCTCTGCCAAAAGAAACTACTATATTTACTTCTATCTTATGGTTGACTGGTTTTGCAACCGAACTTTACTTGTTACCTTTCTGTTATCAGAAACTTGATCTTTTGGGAAGATGGTCTTCTTTATAATAAAAAAATATTTATAAACCGGCAAACTCAACTTAGGCCAATACTTGTGGTTATTCGTGTGGTTTTGTGGGGGTGGGGGATCAGGAAATATTTTCTCTGGTATATTTTCATTTGTAAATATGTGTTAAGATTTTGGATTACTTAACTCTGCTAATGTTGTGATAATTCTTTAGAAATTCATGACATGAATTTTTCCCATTGCAGAAAAGTCATGCTTCGTGTAGATGCAAAGCAGGGAGCTCCAAAAGATGGAAACTCTTCTCTGGATCTTTTTCAGGTAAAACTCTCTCTCTCCTGTGATTCCTTAAGCATGTATTTCAAATGAGATTGAGTGTTTAATGACTGAGAAGCTAGGGTCTTTTACATGGTTGTCTCTTGTTGTGAATGCAAGAGCCATAATGGCAATTATGGCATCATGGCTTTGGTCGGACATTGGTTGTGGGGCAGCTTTTCTGATACATATGTTTAGAAGTCTTTAGCATAGAGTTCAGATAGTAATTTTGTTCTCTCACGTGTATAGACTCGCAAACATTTTTTATTAGAAATAAGCATTTCTTTTATATTAGATATCAGAAGCATTTGTGACTTTGATGAACTAGCATTATAAAAGCTAACTAGGTATATCTTGACTCTATAGGTAGAGATATATCCCCTCAAGATTCATTTGACAGAGACAATGTACAGAATGATGTGGGGGTATTTCTTCCCAGAAGAAGAACAAGATTCACAAAGACGGCAGGTTTGTTTTGGGCTTTAGATGTTTGAGTTCAGAAGCAAATTCGTAGTCCAATTGGTGAATGTCCTCATGATTGAAATTTTGGAATTGCAGGAAGTTTGGATCTCCACAACAGCTGGTGCAAGACGTCTAAAGAAGGGTGCCTCAAACCATGATGCTTCTGCATCAGGCAGCCACTCAACAAAAGAGTCTGAGGTACCATCCAAACCAAGTGTGTATTCTACATCCATTACCAGTCAGTCTGCTCCTGCTGCTTCTGCCCAAGTGAGCATCCTTATGTATCTTTTCCAGAAAAGTAGAGATTTTCCAATGTTTGTATAGTTCAATGAAAACTGCTCTCTTTTTTATTATTATTTTCTGAAGAAATTCTCTTCCTTTTTCAATTTAAATGAAAATATTAACATAAACATTAAAATATGAAGATTTGAAATAATATTAAAATATTAATATTATTCATTATTAAAAAAATTAATAATAATATTTTTAAAGTATTATTATAATTATTTGTATTAATATACACTATTAAAATGTTAATATTTCTCTATTACAAAACATTTTTTGTTAAATATATATAAATTCTAATCTATATACCTATTATTGAAATAGTTATATAAAACATTTTTCAATAAAATGTTAAGAATAATATCCCTGAACCAAAAAAAAAAGAATAGTACTCATTATTAATAGTATAATATTTAATAATATTTTTATTAAAATAATAAATAGCATTAATTATATTAATAGTTTATTTGTTATTATTAAATAAAAACATAATATATTATTAAAATATAGATGAGTATGCTTAATAATATTGAAAATTATAACATTAAAATAATTTTATATTAAAATTTTCTTACTATTTGAAAATATTTTTTCATTTAATATATTTTAATTTTGTCGGATGCCCCTGAATGGACAATATATTTAATTCACCTTTCTCTCTCTATGTATGTATGTATGTATATTTAGTTTGATTTAAGTTATGTTCTGATAATATAAAATCATGTTACTTGTAAGGGCAGTTCTCGGAAATTGTCTTACATTTTTTAAAAGCTAAGACAATTTACAAAAAAAATGACCTTATTTTCCTTTGACCAGTAAGTGGTTTTCCATTCACCAAGTTATTTTTCTCGAAACAAATACCAGAAAATATGGAAAACGTTTTCAGGAAGTCATTTTCCGACGCACCATTAGTGATTTATTTATGTCATAGATTCCTCCATGGGGCTTTGAATCTTTATATTTTTATGCTTTAATTTCCATAAAACTCTTTTTGGAATCTACATGCAGACATCAAAAATGCAAGACCCAAAATCAAATGTTGTTTCTGGTTCTGGTGCTGGCCCTGAGTTGAGGAGAACATCTTCTTTTGATCGAACATGGGAAGAGAATGTTGCAGAACCAATGACTAATGAGCTTGTCCTACAGGCTCACTCTTCTAGCGTTTCTTCTACCAAAAGTGGAGCACTTGTTTCTGTTGAACAACAAGATGAATCCTCTAAAAATAAGATTAAAGACACGAGACCTTTTAAGTCTGGTCGACCATCTCAGGAAGAGAAGAAGGTTGGAAAATCCAATGAAGAGAAAAAATCTAGGCCTAGGAAAATGATGGAATTTCACAACATCAAGATAAGTCAGGTTGGTTTTGTTTATTTTAATTACTTATCTGGTGTTCTGTATTTCTGTTATTTGTTTTTGATTGCCATATATTTCTGTTGTAAATTAGGTTGAGCTACTAGTTACTTATGAAGGGTCCAGATTTGTTGTAAATGATCTCAAGTTGCTGATGGATACTTTTCATCGTGTGGAGTTCACTGGGACTTGGAGAAGACTGTTCTCCCGAGTTAAGAAGCATATTATATGGGGAGTTCTAAAGTCTGTAACTGGAATGCAGGTAAGAGATATTTGATTTTAAGCTACCTGCAAATCCCCCTAATCTGAAATTTCTTTCTTTAAGGGCACTGGTCTCCATGTCCCCTCCTATTGGCCTGGCTTATGACTTGGATATTTGTAATGCTTCATGAAAAATATTGTAAAAATAAGACAGCATGGAAAACAATGTTAGAGTTTAGAATTTGAAGTTCATAACTGCATTTGCAAGTATGATGAAGCTTAATTTATATGTGAAGTTATAAGGCTGAATGCAGATCTGCTGACTTTCCTATTAATTATTTGGTAGGGTAAGAAATTCAAAGACAAGGCACAAGGTGGAGCTGTTGTTCCTGATAGTGACCTCAATCTCAGTGACAATGACCAGGTTGAGAAACCTGGTCCATATCCAATAACATTTCTTAAGCGTCCAAGTGATGGAGCTGGTGATGGATTTGTTACCTCCATCAGGGGCCTCTTCAACACTCAACGGCGTAAAGCCAAACAATTTGTGCTACGGACTATGAGAGGTGAAGCAGATAATGATTTCCATGGAGAGTTGAGTGAAAGTGAAGCAGAATTCTCTCCATTTGCCAGGCAGCTGACCATAACCAAAGCTAAGAGACTTATTAGGCGGCAAGCAAAGAAATTCCGCCCAAGGGGACAAAAAGGTATGGATTGAGTGTCTGCCCCTTTTAAATATATTCCTTACCTTTTTTGTGTTTCTTACGGAAAAATGAAGCTAAAATAGGAAAAGGGTATTCCTCATTTTTGTTTTGTTCGAAAACTGGTGCGACTTTTGAGGTTTCCCTATCAGGTATTGAGGGATTTAATTTAGACCGACTTTACTTTGTTCTGTGGTTCAGGTTCATCTTCTCAACAGAGAGAATCACTTCCATCATCTCCAATGGATCCGATGGACATCATTTCCTTTGAAACCGACTCTTCCGGTGGATCCTCACCATATGAGGATTTTCATGAATAGAATGTCTCTCATCAACTGATAGGGATTGTCAGAAGGCCTTGAATGGAGGAAACAGTATGTGATCTGCAAAGATATCCCCAATTTACTTCAGAACAGGGATGACAAGCAACTGCATTTTGACTAACATTTAAGCGTGTATGAAGACAGATTCGTTGCTGATCTTCAAACAAAAGATGGTTGCAAATCACTGTGCTCGAGAAACATGAAGGTATACCTGCTTGATGGTTACCCTTCTATTTTTTGGTGATTGGTCTTTGGATGCCTGGGTTAGAATCATGTTTGCTCTTATTTACCATCGTATAGGCATTTTACATTTCTGTTCATTCTGGATTTAGCTAATATAATTATAAAGTAATATCTACTCTAAATACTCCAATCATATGACAATTAACGTTTAATCACATTTACAGTTGTGGATGCTCAAACCCATAATCTCTAAAAATAATAATGATTTTTTTAATCACTGAGTGAAGTTAATTTGTGTCAATTGGTTCAATATTTAAATAAATATTCACCTAAAACACCAAATATAAAATTAAAGGAATCGTCCCTTCAGAGAATCTATGCCCATACAAGTCTTACCCAGCAAGGGTGGCCCAATCATATACAATAATCTTATAAACATTAATCCATAATAGAAAACATCAAAGAAAAAAAAAACAGATGGTATCCGAAAAAGAAACCAATTCCACAATTGAAGGCTCGACATAATTTGTAGTTCATAAAGCCAATATCATAATTGAAGGCTTATTATTAAAAAAATGAGTAACGTTACTAAGATCTGATATAAACCATTTTTCCATTAGCATATATGCTCGTCTTTATAGTAGCACTAGCATCAAAGAATAATCGATTTAGCACTAGAATGGTTTTCCTTCTGATACTTTTTGCACGAAGAGTTTCAACTGTTCATACGCTTTCTTTGTTAATTAGAATGTGTTATCTGTTTATATGTATTTAATTCTTAAGCTAAAGCAAGATTTTATGGGATCAAAACAAAAATATAAAAATAAATAAAATATCAAATAATTAATTTACCCAAAAAAAACATTCAATTTTAAAACCGAACTGAAGGCCAATCTCTCAACAATCATAACTGCAACCACCATCCTCGTCTCTGGAAAAACCCTCCCCTTTATACTATTGTTCTTTCTTCCCTCAAAATTTTCAAGGGATTACGTTAAAGATGTGGATGGATCTACTTTTACAAGCCGCTATAATTCTCGTTGCGATCTTTATGTTCCTCGCTATGCACGATATTCCTCAAAAGATCTTCACCAAAATTCGTTACAGGAATCGAGCTGACTACCAAGCTAAGCGCCACTTCGTCCTCGGAGCTCAGCTCCTAGCTCACGCCAGATCCTCCGAGTCCCGTTCATCCACCGCCTCTTTAGCTCAGAAAGCCGAATCCGAAGCCGACAGAGCCATTTCTCTTGATCCGAAAGACGCCGCTACTTACATCCTCAAAGCCCTCGCCCTTGACCTCCGGGGCTTCAAGTCCTCCGCCCTTGACTCCCTGGACATCACTCTCTCTCCTCTTGCTTCCAAGTCGTTGACTGATAAAGAACGGGGTGACGCGCTGTTTAAACGAGCCGAGTTGAAGATGAGCATGAACCGGCGCGGCAGCCATGTCGACTCAGCGATCGACGATTTGACCAAGGCTGTAGAATTACTCGGGGATAACGCCAGGGCGTTTTGTCTGTTGGGAGATTGTTACGAAACGAAGAAGATGAAAACGGAAGCTAGAGCGGCTTTCGAGGAAGCTTTTAAGGTCGAGCCTACCTCCACCGTTGCTCGCGCCGCCATTGACCGATTGGGATCGTAGTTTTTAACGTCGTCGTTTTAAGGTTTTTCTGCATTAAGAAAGTGAAGATATTGTTTTGTTGTATTTCACTATTTCGATTTGTTGTACTTTTATATCAAATTGGAAAATATTCCCAATTCCATCTTTCCATCGATATCGGAAATATCTCTGTTACGGTAGTTTAATTTAAAGTTAAAAACAAATGTAAAAAATGTATTTTATCTTTTTTTAGTTACACACATTTTTTTCATAATATTTTCAGATGACAATAAAAAATATTAAAATTTTATTTAATATTTTCAGTTATATATTTCTTTAATTTTAAATTAAGTTGTCGTATAGTATAACTATCTCCCACTATTTTTAATAATACAAGTAAATTTGTAATTTTTGAAATTTATATAATAATTAGATAAAAATTAAATTTATATAATAATTTTAATAATAAAAGAAAAATATTTATTTATTTAAAAAAATTGAATTTAATTTATTGTCATTGTAAAATTATAACCAAATATATTATTCTTCTTTTATAAACCAGGTTTATATATATAAAGAAAAGCCGCAATCTGCTTCATAAATACCAGAGTATAAAAAAATCGATACTTAATCTACAAGATCCCAAGCTGTGCAAAGACTAGAATAAAAAAATCCTGTCCTATTCATCCTTTTGTTGGGAAGGTGAAGGTGAAGGTGAAGGTGAACATCACTTTCACCAAGCTAAAGATATTATGCTCACTTCTAGTCAAATGAAATATATAAATGCACACGAATCAATTGATCTCAGTGGTTAAGGGACTCATTATTCTTTCTAGATATTACGGATTCGAGCACTCTTAAGGGTATAAAAATTCATAATTAATTAATTGAGAATCTTTGAATAAATATTACATTTTAATACATGCACTCCACAACAGCTTTAGAATGAGAGTAAAAAGTGATCGACCCTTCCAACCGCTCAAAAAACTCGGTATCTCATAAACTAACCGAAAATTACACTCAAATAATAGATGACACCTCGACTCGATCACCACACCACAAAAGACGCACCTAGCATCCACCATCATACTCATCTTCAATATATGATCCCTAGTTAGCAACCTACTCAGAATAGGTAGCCAGACAATCACGGCATGTCTAGGATTATGTAATGAAAAACCAAATGAGTTTATGCCAAGAAACTTTAACTTCATTGCCCCTAAATTCAATCCAGATCTCTTTAGTTTTCAAATACCCTCGAGCTCCAACTAGTATTTCCTTTAACCTCCATGGATCAAAAGTCAGTCGATTTGATGACTCTGCTGGGGAATGATCCAGGTACTGGTACCACAGGCTGCTAGTAAAGAGAAAATAGAGGATAAAGGAAATCAATCTCATCATATTGGTACATCAAGAGTGATAATTTGCCCTGGAGCGTCTAACTCAGACCTAGGGATGAGCCTCGTCAATTTTGAGCAATTTGAAGACAAATTCAGGTGGTTGAATGAAGCCATTGAAGATATGAAGATTGTTAATGCCCCTCACAAGGAGTTAGAAGCTAGAGAACTTAGTTTGGTCCCTGATTTGGTTATCCCACATGAATTTAGGGTGCCCAATTTTGAAAAATATGATGGCACTAGTTGTCCCATAATTCATCTGAAGATGTTTTGTAGAAAGATGGAAGGGTACCTAAATAATGACAATCTGTTGATTCATTACTTCCATGATAGTCTTGCTGGGCCAGCTATAGTATGGTATAACCGTTTGAACAAAGAACAGATCAAGACATGGGTCAACCTAGCTGATGCTTTTCTGGGACAATATCAATATGTTAAAGGCTTAGCCCCAAAACGTCATGACCTTTAAATAATAAGAATGAAAGCTACTGAGAGCTTTAAAGAATATGCCCTAAGATGGAGAGGAGTGGCAGCACAAGTTCAACCTCCTTTGTTAGAAGAAGAAATATCATATATGTTTCACGATTCTCTTCCAGCTCCTTTCTTTGAGTTAATGATGGGAAAGTCGATGAATAACTTCAAGGATCTTATGACAGCTGGAGAGTTAATTGAGGATGCAATCAGCAAAGGAAATTTGAAAGACACTTCTAAAAACCCAACCGATCAAAAGGAACAAGCTGATGAGGTGAATGAATGTCATGTCCAGAGCTCTCAAAGTCGTAAAAGAAAAGGGGTAGCGGGTTACTCGAGGCGTCCAAAGAAAGTCCCAAGATCGAAAAATGCTTTGAAAGTGTTCCAAACTCCTATCTCAGATCTGTATCCCCATTTGATTGAAGGTCAATACCTCACACCGAAGCCAGTGAAAGTGCAACCAGACCCTTCTGCTCATAGCTATGATCAAGATAGTGTCTGTGATTTCCACTTGGGGGCATTGGGACATTCTACGGGAAACTGTAGGCCGCTGTTAAAGGAGATAGAGATGCTTGTGGCAAATGGGACGTTAACAGAGGAATTGGTGGAACAGTGGATGACGAGCTTGAGTGGGGCATCAAAGAACAATATATAACATCCGTTTGAGTTAAGTACCACGACATTAGATGGGTAATGAGGCCTCCTAGATAGGAAGAGATCATTTCATTCTATCATGAAGCTTTATTCCATTTGCAAAATCATGTTTGAACTTGTTTTTCATCATTTCTCAGTTTTTTTTGTATAATGATGTTTAAATAAATTCATGTTACTTTAAGGATGGTGAGCATTGAATCAAATTTGCAACTTGATATTATTTGAATATCAACTGAATTAAAAAACTCTGTAGATGGTCAGAGTTATTGTTCTTTGACAAGGTGACATGATTGAAACCTGATAAAACAAGGACCTTGACCTTATCCCCAGAAAATACAATCGAACACTATACCATTTTCTTGCAAGGACAGGTATAGCCTTATTCTATCATAAGGATACGAACAAGAGGCTTGGTATTCAGGTATGTATACGAGCGGACAACATGGGGCATCTTTTGTGTATGATGTTACAAAACCAACTAGATTTCACTTTTGTTGATGATGTTCAAGGATGATTATGATCTTTACAGATGGAATAGTCAGGTAGGTGAATCTAGTTTAGGTCAGTTGCTTGGAAATTGAACTCTAACGATGAGATTTTTTGACTTTCAACAACACCTAGACTATGACAGGTTCTTCTTGACAAGCTTATGAAATTGGACCCGTATACCCAAATTATAATATTATATGTATACAATAAAGCTTGAGCTGTCCCTCTAGAGCAATTGGTTAAACGCCCCGGCTTTATGGACATAATTTAGCTAGCCTAATAAAGGTGATGATATTATATATATACAATAAAGCTGAGCTATTCCGCTAAAGCAATTGGTTATAGAGGAAACTCGAAAGCCCTGGCTTTATGAATAGATTATATTCAAACCATGACCTTGATCGGGTACCTGGCAAGCGCAGGAACACTCTGCCGCTCAAGCTCCATTTTTCAATCTTCTTCGCATACTGCCCATACTCCTCTCTTCTGGCCTTCAATGCCATACTCGGCTACCATCCCTTTGGTGGCCACTTCTCTTCTAAACGTAGCTCACCATCACACTCTCGTCCTAAAACTCTACACAATCGATTGTCATAGTCTAGGTGTTGTTGAAAGTCAGAAAATCTCATCGTTAGAGTTCAATTTCCAAGCAACTGACCTAAACTAGAGATTCTGGGTTCGTTCCCCAGTAGAGTCGCCAAGCTGTCGAAACGATTTTTTTAAAGGTGAAAATGTGAGATTTTAAAAACCACATTAATTTTTAATTTACCTCTTTCAACTGATTTTTAATTTAAAAACAAATGCGATTTAAAAACCTCTCGTTTCGGAAAATTTTGGATTTCCTTTACGATCGGAAAAAAATACAGTTCAAAGAGTCGCCACCAATCTTTGATTAGGGTGTGATTGGGCACCCAAAATTATTTGTTATTTTAAATAAAAATTAATTTTTATTAAAACAACAAATTAAGGTCTGCGTTACCAAAATCCGAGTTCGGGAGTCGGTTACGTGCAGGGAAGGATTAGCACCCCCACAATGCCCTAAAATGGTACCTAGTCGATTAATTAACGTCTTTGCAATGAACTTTACAAATTCGAATTTATTTTGATTTTTGATCCCATAAAATAAAAATGTAAATTTAAAACATTCAAAAGCACTCAAATAAATTAAATTAAAATTACCGAGTCATTTTAGAAAGATAAAGAATGTTCGATTATTTACAAATATCGAGACCAGATCTTAAAAGATATAACAACCTTTTCTCGATAAATTTAAATAACCGAACATTTCCTTTTCTTTCGTTCCCAAATTTTAGGCGAATCAATTTTTTTTGTTTTACTTTCGGGATACACTTTTAATTTAAAATAGTCAAAACGACCCTCTAATCAGTTAAGACAGGCCACTCAAGACAATTTTAAATTAAAATAGTATTACCCTTAGTCCGATTATGTAATAGGTCGAGTTATGCACATGAGGGTATCATACAAATTATGCAAAAATGTCATGCCAAAATCAATTAAACAAAATTAAAAATAGCATACAACGTGAAATACAAAAAATTATATACATATATTTAAAATTAAAAATTATAACCATGCATATTAACCTATAATGTACAAATGTGAGTCAAATATAAAAAAATAAATATGACATACTAAACTATAAATTTTAAAAAATATATATATCCCTATTAAAGCATAGGCAATTTCTAAATAGAATGGGAAATTTTCATATGAGCCCAACAATTCAAAGTAAAACTAGCAACTCAAATCAATGGCTAATCTGGAGAAACACGGTAAGAATACAGGGGTACGAGTGAAACTTTCTCTTTTTTAATCAAAGTAATTACAAATGAAATAAAAGGGAAAACTTCAAGAAAAAGGGCCTACAATCCAGAAGAAATTCGAAATTCAACACCATTTAATGCCCAAAGTGAAAAGATAAGGGTAATTTAGGGGATATAAAGGTGATTTACCCATTAACTATAATATAAATCCTACGTTTTTGTTAACTACAGCAACCTACCCTGAAAA